CTCACCAGCCCCTCTTCATTAGTTTTGTGGTTACCATTTTTAAAAACTATTTAATTGTTGTTCCATATTAATCCAGTGATAGTAGTATAAACTGACTTTTATAAAAAATCCCCAAATTATTCTTTCTCTTGCTGATAATCTTAGTACTGGAAAAAGAAGAGGCTGATATATCAAAATAGAATAATTGGTATTATAAAGTTGAACAGAGACTCAATTCTTTTAGCATGTTAGTTTCATAAAACAGTGTCAGAAGGTTTTAGCAGTTTTATAGTATGTAGTCTTACTGAACATAAAAAGGTTTACAGAGTTTTTAAACCCAAAAGTCAGAAGAAAATTGCTCATGAAAATCTTTTACGTTTTCCTAGAGCACTATTTAAGAGTGAGGATGGTATTTTGATGTCCATTATGAGCTGCTGATAAAGCTAAATTGCTTCCTTAAACACAACATATGAGAATGGGAACTGAGTTTTACTGGATTTCTGGTAGTCATGCTAGATGTACATTGCCAGATTATTAGGTTGCTGGATGAAATACAGGCAGCAGGGGGAAAAAAATTGATTTAGTCTCTTAGTGCAACAATTTGAAATATGTCTGTTGGGCCAGCCAGACAGCTTAGCAAACTAGAGCGCCTGCTTAGGCAGATGGAGGGACTGCCTAAGTTCGATTGCCAGCGTGTTGTGCCAGCCTCACCCCCAGGACACTCTGAGACTGGGTGTGGTGGCACCCACCTGTAATCCCAGTTCTTGGGAAGCTTAAAACAGGAGGATCACCGTGAGTCCAATCTGTGTAGTGAGACCCTGTAGACCCTCTACTAAATATATTTTAAAAAGTCTGTAAAATACAAACTATTCATAATGTACCTTGTTTAGTTTCAAAAATTGTTAAATTTATTGTTAAATTTAACTTCCTGTACTAGAAAAGAACCTAACAAAGCCATCTCTTTCTGAAGACCCCAAAGGAACTTAAAATAGATAGTAACAGTTAATCCAAGATTTTTTTTTAAAACCCACCATCAATATATGCATCTCTGATTTTGTTCATGTTTTCAGTTGCTATTCTGCTATATACATATCACCTTTCTCCCAAAATACTCAATTTTCAGATTCAAGAATTACTGCATAGTTCACATGTAAAATTTAATGATCCTTATCCTTACAGTGATAATGTTTAAAAACCATTTGACTATTGTTTTTCCAAAGAACTCTGTGACTTTGATTACTCATCTTCCCACCCCCTTATTTTTTTGTGGTACTAGGGATCAACCTAGGGTCTTTGAACTTAGCTGAACTACCCATTTTAAATTTTTTATTTTGAGACAGGTTCTTACTAAGTTGCCCAGGCTGGGCACAAACCTATGATTCTCTCACCTCAGCCTAATAGGGTGCTGGGATTACAGATTCATTACCTCATCATTTTATTCTTCAGTTGAAGATAATTCTCATGACTATGTTTTATACTAACTCTAAATAATACTTTTGAGCTCAGTCTTGAAGGCAAAACTGATTTCAAATTCAGGTACAGAAAATTGCTTCAACAAAGTCTTAAGCAATTTTTAGGACTTTACTCAATGAAAACTATTTTGTGCTTTTATGAATGGAGGAAAGTGAAAGAAGAGATAAAGACCAGCAAAAAGGAGGGAAATTTTTTCATAAGTAAGCCCATGGATTGTTTTACTTTTCTATTGTAACTGAAATCATCTAAATGAACGCATAAACTTTTTTTCCTATGTTAGCCATATATAGATCCACTTTAAAATGAAATGGTGAAATATTAGGTATTTGTATTGGGTGCTGACAAATCTGTGATGTTCTCTATTAAGTACAGGTTAAGCATCCCTAATCTGAAGAGTTCTGAAATTTAAATCTTTTCTGAGTACTAACATGACACAAAAATTTTTGGAGTCTTTTGTATCTCAGAATTTTGGATCTGGGATGTTTAGTAAGTAAAGCCTATGCAAATACTCCAAAATCTGAAGAATTTTGAAATCTGAAATATTTGTGGTGTTAATGAATTTTGGATAGGAGATAATCTACCAGTAACAGAATTACAGTGGACCCTTGACTTCAAACGCAGTTTGTTTCTGAGGGCTGGTTGTAACTCAGGTTGTCAGTTGAAGACTCAGGCTGTCTTTTACACAGTCCTCCAAGTCTCCTGAATACAGGCAGGTTCAGTGTCCTTAGGGAGACATTGGCTTAGGATTTCTCAACCCATATAAGAGAGGATGTTGTAGTGTTCCTTCTAGAACTCTTTAAAGGTTAAATCAGTATCTTACACCATCTAGAAGCAGAAGCAGCTGGCTTTAGGGTCATAACTCTTTGGTTGTAAGTTAAAACTACAATTTAGGTCATAACCCAAGTTGTTCTTATGTCAGGCTAGTTGTAACTTGAGGGTCCACTTTAGAGTGAAATGACATGGAGAATGTCTATTGTCATAGTGATTTGAGAGGCGAAATTTTTCCTACAGTACATTTGTGCTGTCAAATATATGAATTCAGTCAGACACACATACATGCATAATGCTGAAATGAAAGGACTGATGCAAAACACTCACACATTAGAATGATAAACAATTCATGTTCTTACTAGGCCTGGAATCCTGCTGCTGAAGATCAGTGCTTTGACAGATGCCATCGACTTGGCCAGAAACAAGAAGTTATTATCACAAAAGTGAGTTTGGAACTACTTACTTTCATTTTAGTATGTTTTAAAAAATAAATGACTATAGTATTGTAGTAATGTAAATAGAATTGTAGAAAGCAAAGTGTAAAACTTTTTTCGCCTCCCTTTACAGATTCAAATATTTTTAGGACCTTTTCTCTGTAGTTACATATGTTTTTACTCATATGTACATCTTAAAAGTTTATTAGAGAATACTATATAAATACATTTATATCAGCACTTTTCATTGTGGTAAAATGTACACAATGATTTTTATCATTTTAGCCATTAAGTGTATAGTTCAATTGTACTACGTACACTCACATTGTGTCAAACTGCTATCACCATCCATCTCCAAAACTTGTCACCTCATACAGAAACTACCTATTAAACCATACTTGTACTCTCTTCAAGCACTTGTGTGCTTTGTCTCTGAATTTGATCCTTCCCCAGTTCATTTAATACTTGCATAAAGACATATTGTAAATTATGTAACCAGTTCAGTTTTGCAGAAATAGTGTCTGATAAATAATACATGCACTTTTGCATATACATATTTCTTCATGATAGGTTAAAAAAACTAGAATTCTGGATTTAGAATTTTTTATTAGAAATCAGGTACTTTTCAAAATTGTCTCTTTATAATGTTACATAGATGCAAATTTGTGCTTCTATGATGATCTAAAAAATCCTGATTTGCATGTAAACTTATTTCACATGTTTGCTGTTCATCTGTTCATTAATACTCATTAATTGCTTATCGGTTGCCAGTTTTCATAGTTCCAATGCACATATAGTTTTATAGCATAAAGGTCTCCTTTATACATGCTGGTTTTAAACCATTTCTTATGAGATTGGAAGTGGTTTATGCCAGGAGCTTGCTTGGCTTAAAAACTGCATGAGCGTTTTGTCATGAAAAAGCTTTAAAATATTTGTGATTGAAAATAGCTTTTTTTTTTTTTTTTTTAAATAGCTTCTTGGTTTTAAAGTCTTGTAATGACAGCAGGCTGTATCTTCAGATCTTAAAAGCTGTCTTTCTATATTTACTTATGATTTTTAGAAAATTTTGTTTGTAAAATGGGTCTGCATTTTTTTTCCAAATGAAGAAACATTTTATTGTTACTTTTTTAATTTTTTTTTTTTTTCTTTTTGAGACAGGGTCTCACTATGCAGTTCAGGCTGGTCTTGAAGAGCTCACTTTGTAGCCCAGGCTGGTCTTGAACTCACAAGGATCCTTCTGCCTGAGCCTCCTAAATGCTGGGATTATAGGCGTGTGCCACCACACTCAGCAAATGTTACTTTTAAAGTTTTCCTTCTTTCTGTGAATATGAAATGTATATATGAATTTCTTTCTTGAATGTTCTGTTCTTTTGATGTCTTCCAGTTCTCAGGGCAGTTTTATAACTGTAGTTTTATAAAGTATGCCTTCATATTTAATAGGGTAGAATGCTCTCATTGCTCTTCATCGTAAAGGTTTATTGGTTATTACTTACTGCTTTTGGACTTTTGGTAGAGGCCAATGGTGGTGAACCTGTGTCACACGTTGTTCAGTGGGCTGTTGTTATTTAAAGCCCTAAAAGGTTTGCCGTCACTGATAAGCTATTCAGTTGCATTTGCGAAATATCATTTAATCTCAGTGCTTTGGGAGGAGGAATGCAAATTCAAGCCCAGCCTGGGCAATTATCAATTCCCTGTCCAAAAATTAAAAAATTAATAACTTTTATTTTTCAATGTATTTAGTACAGGGTCTACAGAGTCTTACTGGGTAGATTGGACTCGATCAGACTCGTTTTCAGTCTCCCAAGTGCTGGGATTACAGACACGTGCCACCACGCCCAGTTTCAGTTGCCAGTCTCAGCGCACCTGGCTCGCACATCACACCCGGGATTGAACCTGCTCCCTGTGGCTGCCTAAGCAGGCACTTTAATCCACTGAGCTATCTGGCCAGTCCTCAATAATTTTTGAAAAGGGCTGAGCTTAGTGTAAAGGCCTTGGATGCAATCCCAAATTTCTCCCTACTAAAAAGAAAATAAAAATATTATTTGGGATTTATTGAATTTGATTCGAATTGGGTGTGATGGTGCACATCTGTAATCCTAGGACGCTAAAGGCAGAGGCAGGAGGATAGCTGTGAGTCCAGGCCAGCCTGAACTACATAGCAAGATCTTTTCAAAAAAATAAAAAAGAATTTGATTGCTTTTAGAATTCTTTTCTTTAGAAGTAAGGGAAGTTTTCATTCAAGACTATATATAGTATCTTCCTTTGTTTAGATCTTTTATATATTTTATTTTGTTGCTTTGTTTTTTGAGATAGGGTGTCACTTTGAACTCACTTTTATATCCCAGGCTGGCCTCGAATTTGCAGCAATCCTCTCTCACCTCAGCCTCCCGACTGCTGGATTATAGGCATGTGCCACCACACCCAGTTTATACATTTTAATAGTTTTATAATATAATTTTTTGTTATAATAACTGGACTTATACAGTACTGAGTAGGAGTAGTAGTAGTTTTCTTCTTGTCTTGCTCTTTTTTTAAAAATTTTTTTTTATAATTTTATTGAGAAACAAATAGCAATGGGACAGTTTCAAATCAAATTGGTAGGACAGTTTCAATAATTAACCCATTGCATACATTCTTCCTAGTGGTTAATTGCTGTACAAGATGCGGACATGATATCCTATTTACAAACACCATTAGAACAAATCCCTCCATTC